ATCATCACCTACCTCTACTTCTGATAGACCATAGATCACCTACCTCTAGATCATAGATCATCACCTACCTCTACTTCTCATAGACCCTCTTAGATCATCACCTACCTCTACTTCTCATAGACCGTCTTAGATCATCACCTACCTCTACTTCTCATAGACCCTCTTAGATCATCACCTACCTCTACTTCTCATAGACCGTCTTAGATCATCACCTACCTCTACTTCTCATAGACCTGATAGTCTTAGATCATCACACCTACCTCTACTTCTCATCTTAGACCGTCTTAGATCATCACCTACCTCTACTTCTCATAGACCACCCTGGACCATCACCTACCTCTACATTTCATAGACTGCCCTGGACCATCACCTACTTACCTCTACTTCTTCTCATAGACTAGTCTGGACCTTCACCTACCTAGACCGTCTTACTCACCTCTCTAGTCTCATAGACCGTCTAGATCATCACCTACCTCTACTTCTCATAGACTGCCCTTGGATCATCACCTACCTCTACTTCTCATAGACCACCCTGGACCATCACCTACCTCTAATTCTCATAGAACGCCCTGGACCATCACACCTACCTCTACTTCTCATAGACCATCTTAGATCATCACCTACCTCTACTTTTCATGCCCTGGACCTACCTCTACTTCTCATAGACTGCCCATCATCACCTACCTCTACTTCTCATAGACCACCCTTAGATCATCACCTACCTCTACTTCTTATAGACCACCCCTGGACCATCTACCTACTACTACTCTACCTCTACTTCTCACAGACCATCCTAGATAAATCTCCTACCTCTACATCTCATAGACTGCCTTGGACCATCACCTACCTACTTCTCACGGACCTCTATAATCTCTACCTCATAGACATAGACGCCGTAGACCATCACCTACCTCTCTACTTCTCATAGACGCCCTGGACCATCACCTACCTCTATTTCTCATAGACTGCCCTGGACCATCACCTCTACGTCTCATAGACGCTCTTAGACCATCACCTACCTCTACTTCTCATAGACCGTCTTAGATCATCACCTACCTCTACTTCTCATAGACCGTCCTGCATCATCACCTACCTCTACTTCTCATAGACCGTCCTGGACCATCACCTACTTACCTCTACTTCTCATAGACCGTCCTAGATAATCACCTACCACACACTTCTCATAGACTGTCCTAGATCATCACCTACCTCACACTTCTTATAGACCATCCTAGATCATCACCTACCTCTATTTCTCATAGACCGTCCTGATCATCACCTACCTCTACTTCTCAGAGACCGTCCTAGATTATCACCTACTGCACACTTCTTATAGAATGCCCTAGACCATCACCTATCTCTACTTCTCATAGACTGTGCTGGATCATCACCTACCTCTGCTTCTCATAGACTGTCCTAGATCATCACCTACCAAACACTTCTCATAGTCCATCCTAGATCATCACCTACTGCACACTTCTTATAGACCATCCTAGATCATCACTTACCTCTACTTCTCACAGACAGTCCTAGATCATCACCTATCTCTGCTTCTCATAGACCTTCCTAGATCATTATCTACCTCTACTTCTTATAGAGCGTCCTAGATGATCACCTACCTCTACTTCTCATAGACCATCCTGGACCATCACCTACCTCTACTTCTCACAGACAATCCTAGATCATCACCTATCTCTGCTTCTCATAGACCGTCCTAGATCATTATCTACCACACACTTATCATAGAGCGTCCTAGATCATCACCTACTACAAGGTCCTAGATCATCACCTACCACACTTCTTTTAGACCGTCCTAGATCATCACCTACCTCCACTTCTCATAGATTGTCTTAGATTATCACCTACTGTACACTTCTTATAGACCCGCCCTGGACCAGCACCTACCTCTACTTCTCATAGACTGCCCTGGACCATCACCATCGCACACTTCTCATAGACTGCCCTGGACCATCACCTACTGCACACTTCTTATAGACCCAAAAGTACAAGGAGTGCAGCGCTACACTCCTTGTACTTTTGAGTTTATTAGAAAGGTTTTGTGACTTCTTATAGACCTGTCCTAGAGCATCACCTACCTCTACTTCTCATAGACTGCCCTAGACCATCACCTACCTCTACTTCTCATAGACTATCCTAGATCATCACCTACCTCTACTTCTCATAGACTGCCCTAGATCATCACCTAGCTCTACTTTCTCATAGACCGTCCTAGATCATCACCTACCTCTACTTCTCATAGACTGTCCTAGATCATCACCTACCTCTACTTCTCATAGACCGTCCTAGATCATCACCTACCTCTACTTCTCATAGACCGTCCTAGATCATCACCTACCTCTACTTCTCATAGACCTAGTCTAGATCATCACTTACCTCTACTCATATACAGTCCAATACCATCACCTACTATACACTTCTTATATACAGTCCTACATAATCACCTACCTCTACGTCTCATAGACTGTCCTAGATCATCTTCTACTTCCTGTATACTGTCCTAGATCATCATCTACCTCTACTTCTTGTATACTGTCCTAGATCATCACCTACCTCTACTTCCTGTATACTGTCCTAGATCATCACCTACCTCTACTTCCTATATACTGTCCTAGATCATCACCTACCTCTACTTCTTATATACAGTCTTAGATTATCACCTACCTCTACTTCTCATATACAGTCCTAGATCATCACCTACCTCTACTTATATACAGTCCTAGACCATCACCTACCTCTTCTCATATACGGCCCTAGATTATCACCTACCTCTACTTCCTTTTACTGTCCTAGATCATCATCTACCTCTACTTCTCATATACAGTCCTAGACCATCACCCACCCTTACATTGTATATACAGTCATAGATAATCACCTACCTACTTCTTATATACAGTCCTAGATCATCACCTAGCTGTACTTCTTATATACGGCCCTAGATCATCACCTACCTCTACTTCTCATATACAGTCCTAGATCATCACCCAGCTCTACTTCTTATATACAGCCCTAGATCATCACCTACCTCTACTTCTCATATACAGTCATAGATAATCACCTACCTACTTCTTATATACAGTCCTAGATCATCACCTAGCTCTACTTCTCATATACAGTCCTAGATCATCACCTACCTCTACTTCTTATATACAGCCCTAGATCATCACCTACCTCTACTTCTCATATACAGTCCTAGATCATCACCTACCTACTTTTTACAGTCCTAGATACACCTAGCCCTAGATCATCTAGATCACCTACCTCTACTTCTATATACAGTCCTAGATCATCATCACTCACTTCTTTACAGTCCTTGTATATACAGTTACTAGACAGCCCCCTAGATCATTCACCTACCTCTACTTCTCATATACATACAGTCAACCCTTAGATACATCATAGATAATTCACCTACCTACTTCTTATATACAGTCCTAGATCATCACCTAGCTCTACTTCTCATATACAGTCCTAGATCATCACCTACCTCTACTTCTCATATACAGCCATAGATCATCACCTACCTCTACTTCTTCACATACAGTCCTAGATCATCACCTACCTCTACTTTTTATATACAGCCCTAGATCATCATCTACCTCTACTTTCTCATATACAGTCCTAGACATCACCACCCTTACTTTGTATATACAGTCATAGATAATCACCTACCTACTTCTTATATACAGTCCTAGATCATCATCTAGCTCTACTTCTATATACAGTCCTAGATCATCACCTACCTCTACTTCTTATATACAGCCCTAGATCATCACCTACCTCTACTTCTCATATACAGTCCTAGATCATCACCTACCTCTACTTTTTATATACAGCCCTAGATCATCACCTACCTCTACTTCTCATATACAGTCCTAGATCATCACCTACGTTTACTTCTTGTATATAGTCCTAGATCATCACCTACCTCTACTTCTTATATACAGTCCTAGATCATCACCTACCTCTACTTCTCATAGACTGTCCTAGATCATCACCTACCTCTACTCATATACAGTCCAATACCATCACCTACTATACACCTATATACAGTCCTACATCATCACCTACCTGTACTTCTCATATACTGTTCTGGGGTCATCTACATCTACCCTTCATATACTAGTCCTGGGGTCACTGCACAGCCACCCGTATGATCACCTACCTGGACTTCCTGTCGGGTCACCTATGTGATCACCTACATGTACTTCTCATATAAAGTCCTGGGGTTACTGTACAGACAACTATATTATCACCTTTGTCTACTTCTAGTACATAGCTTCCCCTACATACTGCCTACTAGATCTGGTACAAGGGCTCCATGACTCCACAACCCCTGCATTCAGTGTGTATTTCCCCATGTGCCTTGTTAATGTGTTTGTTGGTGTTATTTATTATTTTTTCACCAAGTTGCATTTACATTGCGTTGATGTGCAAACAGAATGCAGCACGCTGTGCTAATTATTTTTAAATACTCAGGAAAGCACCTCCATGGTGTAAACCAGGCTCATTTGAATACATTTCTCTTGTATATGCGTTTGTACAACATCTGTAGAAAACAAGCCCTAAAATAGGAAGTACGAAAATCAATTGTCCTCAAATGATCCCAGCTATGTAGGGGCTCGTTCACACAGGCGGCTGGTGGGCAGTAAAAGCAGGTGGTTGAGCTGCAATTTTAGAGCCCAACTAAAGAAGGCCATGCAGCCACTCAGGGCTGTACACATGTTGTGACAAAAATGAAAGCACTTGTCGCATTCAGATGACTGAGACCCATTTAAGTGTATGGGACTTCACTGCAACCATCTGTAGTACACGTTTGTAACCTGGTAGTTCAGCCTTTTTAGGGTTAGGACAGGCCTGCTCACTGCCTGTCAAATGCCCTCTAAAAATGATCCACCGCAGATCACTTTTCAGAGGGCTGCCACAAATGAGAAAGAGCCCTTAGGAATGTGACCTGTATGTGCTCTGTTTTATTCTTGTATGTATTGGATGCAGGGACGAACTGACCATTTGGAAACTCGGGCACTGCCCAAGGGCCCGGGGTCAGTAGGGGCCCCATGAGATGCCCCTGGTACCTTTTTCATAGGCTTTTTTTTTGAGTTTGGGCAAGGACACAGGGGCCCCATGATCCCCTATTGCCCTGGGGGCCCCATGAGTTGTCAGTCTGCCCCTGGTTGGTTGTGTTCTATAAGGTGATCAGATTCAGCCATGTGCTTCCAGTATGCAGATATTACTTGAAATACATACTTACTAACCATATGTATTTGGTTTATATAAACACAGAGACATCGATCTGGGAGATATAAATAAAACCTTATACATTCCACCTAATCTTCTCCACCATAGAAATCTGAACTCCAGCAAAAAAAAAAAACATTTTTTCATGTGCCATGTACATATAAACTACCTCCATTGATGCCTGTCATATGTGACGCTGCATTGAGGAAAACTCATAAACGATTGTACAGTCTCTTTGAGCTCAGAATGGGTGGAAGAGAAGCAGCACTAGGAGCCTATCAGTTGTGGTGCAGTTTTCATGTGCTAACACAAAGCATGCTGATAGGAGGAGAGAGCAGAGGACCAAGAGATAAGCTCATCATAGGTTGCTTCTCCTTTCACTGTCCAGTTACAGGACTGTTGGAGAGTGAAGACCAATCAGTGTTACTAATTGCAGGAGAGAAAGATCAGGTCTCCTGCCCTGATAGATTAGGCTGAGCTTTATTAGGGACTGATGTGAATGTATAATATATATGTAAAGTGCTGCATAAATTGACAGCGCTATAGAAGTACCCATAATAAATAAATAAATAATAAATAAATCTTGAGACTGGATGGACAGAAATACAAATCCTTTGGCAGGGAAAACAGCTCACATATATGTATTCTATCCAGGTATTTAGCCATTTGCCTGGAGTTTAGTTTAACTCTAGGTTCACACCTAAGCGTTTTCTGCTGCGTTTTGCAGAAACGCACTACAGTTCATTTAATATGATTTCCTATGGCACATGTTGACATCTGCATGTTTTTCACCCGGTGTGTTTTTGGAAAGGGTCAGGGACTTTTTTGAGCCCAAAAAGTTGTGTTTTTGGTTCTATAGACTTCAATAGAAACGCTGCAGAAAAGCATGTATTGCAGTTTTTAAGGCATTTTTGCCCCATTTTTTTATGTGTTTTAAACCCGCCTAGCAACAAGAAAAATTACAAAAAAATTACAAAAAAAAAAATACACAAAATGCATCCCAATCGTCCAAAACGTAGGTGCAAAATGCAGTGCAGAAACGGCTCAAACGCAACCTGCATAGTTGAGAACCTAGCCTTACACCCCCCCCCCCATTAAATTGGTGTCTGTCAGTATTTAATTCATGGTGTAAGTCCTCTCCAGCAGTCATGCTGATGACAGGGTTCCCTGGTACAGCCGTCCTTGCTGAGCTGTCATGGAATATTTTGAAGCAGGCAGATTGGTATGTGATGCCGTAACATGCACGCTGATTGAAATGCTGCCAAGAAGTTCCTGTTTTAAGAATGCTGATTTTTATTGTGACACTAAATTGTATATGTATGTTACTGGAAGCGGTTATATTGTAAGCTTTGTGAATGTGAAATAAGCTACAGAGGTATCACATTGTTACAAATGTGTGGTTAGATAACAAATGAGCAATTACAGGTTCACCAGGATCCAGGAGGAATTGGAATATCTGTTCTTTAGGTGGTGCCCAGACTATTATAAATATAGTATGACAGCTATACTCCGTACAGCAAAGCTCAGACTGGGGAAGGGAGAAGCAGAACAAGGAGTCTCTCCAGTGCAAAAAGCCATGCGGATAGAAGAGAGCAGAGTGACAGAGATGAACCCACTAATATGCAGCTTCTCCTTTCACTGACCAGTGACATGGTGGGGGTGGGGAAGATACCTTTACAGGGGCGGAATGACCATTTGGAAACTCGGGCACTGCCTGAGGGCCCGGGGTCAGTAGGGGGCCCCATGAGATGCCCCTGGTACCTTTTTCATAGGCGTTTTTGAGTTTGGGCAAGGACACAGGGGCCCCATGATCCCCTATTGCCCGGGGGCCCCATGAGTTGTCAGTCTGCCCCTGTACCTGTATGTGAAAGTGAAACTGAAGGATCGGGTCCTCTCCCTGCCAGGACAGTGTTTGCACAGAGCAGTTTAATCCTGAGGCTGGGTGGACAGAAAATACAAACCATTTGGCAAGCAAAACGACTCAGAAATTTGTATTCAAGTTGTGTATTTAGCTGTTTGCGTGGAGTTCAGTTTGATACTTTACCTTGTCCATGCAGCCAGCCTCGGCTGTATCACAGCATATGAGGCCTGAAAAATCTGCAGAATCTAATACTTCAGAATTGTCCAATTTCTGGTCTCTCCCCTCCCCCATCCCCCACTGCCCTCAGAGGTTTGATCCACCAGACTTTACAGTGCATCAATATTGTGTCCTGGAGAGATATTGACAGCCACTAAAAGTAGAGATGTAGAATAACCACTAGAGGGAGCTCAGCATTTTGACATATTCAGCTTCACTGCTTCACAATTACTGGGATAAGATTTCGTCCACTAGGGGTGAGCATTGTTTTTATAGATTTTTTTTTTTTAATTAAAGGTGATCTTTTGTACACACCATTATCTAAAACAAACAATACAATCTGTTTAAAATAGTTCTGTCTGCATTTGTTAATGTGCATCATAAAAACATGCTTCCAGCCCTCAGTAGCAGGTGTTAGTGTCTGCACACATCCTACTCATCCTGACATATGCATAACACCTCTGGACATGATGGTTTTTGCTGCTGGTGGTGTGTGATGTAAATCCACAGGATTCCCAGACAATGGAACCTGCCCTCCTGGTCTCTTTCTATTTTATTATACTTAGGAGTTGTTTGACAAGTATGTGTCAGTGAGTGGAAATCTCCCTGAGGGGACAAAGCCTAGTCTTGTATAGGTGTTACTGAGTATGGTAATTATAGCTCTTTTCAGTGTGTGTGAGTGTACATAGGATGCCTTCAGTAAGGTGATTGTGGAAGAGGTGTGCAAATTAAGGGAAAGTGATGGGGAGGGATCCTTAGCAACTTTTCTATTGATTTACAGTTGCTTATGTAAAGCACTTCTAATTGAATCAAGACTAGGTAGGGATACTGGGGACATTATTATTAAGAAGCGGAAAGTAGTTCAAGACATTGGGGTGGATTTACTAAAGGCAAATAGACTGTGCACTTTGGAAGTGCATTTGTACTCATTTTTTCCAGAGCTTCCACACAGCTTAGTGAATGCGGGGAAACTTCACTTTGTAAACAATATGTTTATTGTAATGAAAATGAAAAAAAAAACAGCAGTTTTCTTGTACATGGTTGGAAGATAGAAATCAGCAGAGCTTTAGCACATTCGCTAAGCTCTGGGGAAAATTAGTGCAACTGCACTTCCAAAGTGTACAGTTTTCCCTTTAGTAAATCCAAATTGGGGCGGCACAGTGGCTAAATGGTTAGCACTTCTGCCTGGCAGTACTAGGGTCACTGGTTCAAATCCCAGCCAGGGCTCCACCTGCCTGGAGTTTGCATGTTCTCCCTGTGCCTGTGTGGGTTTCCTCTGGGTACTCTGGTTTCCTCCCACACTCCAAAGACATGCTGGTAGGTTCATTGGATCCTGTCTAAATTGTTCCTAGTATGTGTATGTATGAATGTAAGTTAGGGACCTTAGATTGTATGCCCCTTGAGGGTTAGGGACTGATGTGAATGTACAATATATATATGTAAAAAAGCACTGCATAAATTGACGGCGCTATATAAGTACCTGAAATAAATAATAAATAAATAAATCCACTGCTCTGTCTTCTATCCATCCAGTTGGGGGAGCTCTAGTCTCCTTTTGACATATTTAGCTATGTCAGCGTTCAGCTGTGCTATAAGAAGCCAATTGTTTGAGTCATAACAGCATTGACACATCCATTAAAAGTAGAACTATGGACTTCCATAAACATGTGCTGCAGCACTTAATTATAAGTGCATCTTCACTTACAGCAGTGTTTCTCAACTCCAGTCCTCATGGACCCCCAACAGGTCATGTTTTCAGGATTTCCCTCAGATGAAACAGCTGTGGTAATTACTAAGGCAGTGAAACTGATCAAATCACCTGTGCAAAATAATGGAAATCTTGAAAACATGACCTGTTGGGGGTCCATGAGGACTGGAATTGAGAAACACTGACTTACAGTGTTCTCTTGGTACTCTTGCAAAGCCCCACAAATACCATTGATCCTGCCAGTGAAGTCTACTTAATGCGTCCTGTGACAGTGTGGCAACAATGCTGCACTGCCACTGAATTCAGAGCAGAGTTGACCCTTTCATGTTGACTGAGCCTGCTTTCACTACTGTAATTACTGTTATCAGCATTGCCACTGGTGATTGACAAGCCTATGGCAATTTGTTCCCCTTATCTAACTATAGAAAATAATGTCTGCTCCATATGATACAATACCAAATGTCGAGGAACACTAGGTGATCTTAAAATCATATATTTTAATAATCAAGATGAAGCACCAGAATTTAACTGATTTAATAGAAACTACCTATAAGATTAAAACTGTCCTGCTTACCAAGAAGAAAATAGCCAGGCATATCAGTGTGGTGGGTGACGTATCTAGGTGTGATGCTAGGAGGAGACTGGCTAGGCTCTTGTCCTGGAAAGCTAGGTTGATAGGTGTGCACCTTGGGACGTGGGGTCAGGCTACTGATAGGGAAATCTGATGTGACCTAGAGTATATGCCAGAGGAGCCTGCTGGGTGAGGGAAGCAAGGTTGACTGTAAAGTATTACAAAAATCAGTCTGTATATGCAATAAAGCATGCGTGTTATACTCACTGTGGAACATAAGGGGTTAATCCTCTGCATTGTGTAAAAATTCTGTTTGATCCTGGCTTCTCTGATCCTCCCCTTCTATCAGTGTCCTCCTCTTATCTCCTGATAAGACATATATTATGTGGTGACACTGCACATGCTCAGTTTGGTGTGTATTGCGAGAGGGTTTTTTTTTTTTTCTTGGGAGAGTGCATGTGATTGGCACAGTCAGCAATCAGCAATGTCCAGACAGAGGTCAAGGGTTCTGCAGCATCCTCCTAGAGCAGAATGAAAACTCCTTTTACAAGCTTTAACCAGAGCTTGGCTGGGCACTGATAGAAGTCTCAAGACTGCTCTAATTGCTGATGAGAAAAGGTATTTAGCAGTTTATATTTACTAAAATAATTGTACTTCCATGTTCTGTGTACTGTGAGAGACCACAGATAATGAATACAGGGTGCTGGGTTTAGTAACACTTTAAGGCCTCATGCACACTGGGCATTTTTACAGCTGCTGTTTTTGGCTTCTGGAATTTTTTTTCTACAGCCAATAAACTCCTCAGCATGGTATCCTGTGTATCCATGCATACATAGGCTTTAATCAGCATTTTTTGGCAGGGACGTTTTCTGGCTGGAAAAAACCCAGAACTGGTGGGTTTCAGCAGAAGCTGTAAAAATGCTCTTACGCTGGTAAACGTGGTTAAACGCGGCAAAAATGTGTTTTGGTTTTTTTTTTGCTTAAAAACGCTAAACACAGAAAAACGCAGCTAAATGCTAATGCAAAAACACAAAAAAATGCAGAAACACTCACATTTTTAATGAGACTTTATACAGCTAACACTACCGGCGCTTTTAAAAAGCCCAGTGTGAATGAGGCCTAACACTGCCGCGTTGCAGGTAATCTTGGAAAACTATCTGCCAAGCCTGTGACTGTAATGCAGATTAGGAAAGTTGGATAAACATCAGAACTCTTTATCCGCATGCTTGTTCCAGATCTTGATTAATGATTCAATTTATTGACACAAAATGGTCAGCATGGCAGCCAGGCAACTTGCATTATCAGAAGAAGAGGTTAGCAATGGTAGCGGCTATGCTTCTCCCATGACAGGCTCCTTTAAAGGTCTGTATTCAGCACTTCAGGGCCTTAACTGATAGATGCCTAAATAGGAACTATTACAATTTTTTTACATGAATTAGTTCCTGATGGGACAAAGTACATGTATTTGTTTGTCTCATTATCCTAGGTGTGCTAAAACACTAGTTGTGATGTTGGACAGTGCACCCCCCAGCCCCGCAGCTAGCAGGGAGATGTCTGTTTCTTCTTTGTAGCGCCTATCTCTGGCTTTCAGAACTTGCCTGAGGCCAGCATTGGCACAAGGAATGCAGAGCAGGGCTGCTGTTAGAAACCACGGGGCCCCTACAGCCACCCTGATAGCCACCCCCCAAAAAAAGCTTACTATGCTTCAGCTATGAATGAACACAGTGAGTGATCGGTATTGATCACTTATTATGTTCAGGAAGGGGCTGGTAAATGTGACATATTTACCGGGCCCTCCACCCTGTAGGATCCTATTGTGTGCTTGCAGCTGCCGGTTGAAAGCAGACCTGGGAATCCAGTAGCACTGTTGGGGGGGCACACGGGGCCGGGGCAGCAGGGGGAAATGTATGGTGCACAGGGAGGATGATGGGTGCAGCTGGGGGAAATGACTTTAACTAATTCCTTGTATGTCTTTCTCTGCAGCAGCTAAAAGCCAGCAGGAGGGAGAGGAGAAGAAGCTGCTGCAGAGAGCCATATAGGGGATCAGTTCCAGTAACTGCCCCCCCGCCGTGCCAATCACCCTCACTGCCCACATCCAAACCACCCAACTGCCTGGGCCCCCCTGCTGTCCTGGGCCCCATACAAAAGGAATGGTGGTACCCCTTTAACCACGTCCCTTATGCAGAGCAATGGGGGACTGACACACATCGCCTATTTCTGCATTTCACAGGGATCTGGGGACAGGCACTGCAAAGTAAAGTAGCCAACTCCTTGCCAGGTGTGGTGTTGGGTGGGCATGCACCAATTGGGGGAGGGTTGTCCTGTCCTATATCACAGCTAGAGTCACAGGTCACCTACGATGATGGAACAAAATGCTGCATGTACTTGTTCCTATGAGGAACTAAATGACGGAAAAAAATAGTGATGATTCTTCTTTAAAGCAGAACTACATTGTATCTGAGCAGGACCAGAAGCGCTATTTAATTCAGATTTGATAATCAAAGCAAAGTCACCCATCCATCCATGTCTCCATGGTTTATTTTGCTGAGGAATCACTTAGAAAAGCACCCCCTAGCATTTCTGGCCGTTGCCATCTTGAATAAGGGCAGGCGAGTCGTATAGTAATTACTTCCTGGAATCCATCTGCCCTTAGCTCAGATATACAGACAGGAGGGTGGGCTTAGCGAATAAACCCATTCCGCCCCTCCAGAAGACCCCTGGGATGTATGCCTACATTTGCCTAGGCCTGGAAACCAGGAGGTAACTGAAAAAATGTAAAAAAGAAAGGTTAAAAACCACTTAATATCATATACTTTCCTATCTATTTACTAAGGCTAGCCACAAAAGGATTACAATTAGTCAATGTGGATTGAGAGAGTGAATTTCCACTTTAAGGTCTAATATTGTGTAAATGCTAGTTAACCCCTTGACGCCGACGTCACACAAATATGCGGCCTCACAGAACTTGACTTTTTTCCATGGGACCGCATATTTGTGTACCTGTAAAGTAAAGGTTTGATCTAGTTCAGTGCCAGTGTTAGTGTTTGAGTCACGTCAAAGTCAAAGGTCAGGGTTTTTTTTTTTTTTACTTAAATTGCTATCAGTATCAGTTAGTGTCAGTGTCAGTGTGTTTTAGGTAAAAAAACAAAACACAAACTGTGCACTATTGTTTCTGGGTTGTAGTACAGGTACAAACAACTAATAACATACACATATATGGTATCACTGTGATCGTCAAGAGCTGGAAAATTTATTTTGGGTTGTTCTGTGGTGGTAACAAGAAACACACGGCTAAATTAAAAAAAATGATTTTTTTTTTTACTATTTTGGGCCAGTTTTCCTTTGGTAATAAAAAAAAATCAGGAGACATTATTATTAACATTTACCACCAAATGAAAGCCCAATTTGTCCTGAAAAAAAGCAAGGTATAATTCCCCTGGATGTACAAAGTAGTTGTGATGATACAGTCAGGTCCATAAATATTGGGACATCGACACAATTCTAACATTTTTGACTCTATACACCACCACAATAGATTTGAAATGAAACAAACAAGATGTGCTTTAACAGCAGACTGTCTGCTTTAATTTGAGGGTATTTACATCCAAATCAGGTGAACGTTGTAGGAATTACAACAGTTTGCATATGTGCCTCCCACTTGTTAAGGGACCAAAAGTAATGGGACGGAATAATAATCATAAATCAAACTTTCACTTTTTAATACTTGGTTGCAAATCCTTTGCAGTCAGTTACAGCCTGAAGTCTGGAATGCATAGACATCACCAGATGCTGGGTTTCATCCCTGGTGATGCTCTGCCAGGCCTCTACTGCAACTGTCTTCAGTTCCTGCTTGTTCTTGGGGCATTTTCCCTTCAGTTTTGTCTTCAGCAAGTGAAATACATGCTCAATCGGATTCAGGTCAGGTGATTGACTTGGCCATTGCATAACATTCCACTTCTTGCCCTTAAAAAACTCTTTGGTTGCTTTTGAAGTATGCTTTGGGTCATTGTCCATCTGCACTGTGAAGCGGCGTCCAATGAGTTCTGAAGCATTTGGCTGAATATGAGCAGATAATATTGCCCGAAACACTTCAGAATTCATCCTGCTGCTTTTGTCAGCAGTCACATCATCAATAAATACAAGAGAACCAGTTCCATTGGCAGCCATACATGCCCACGCCATGACACTACCACCACCATGCTTCACTGATGAGGTGGTATGCTTAGGATCATGAGCAGTTCCTTTCCTTCTCCATACTCTTCTCTTCCCATCACTCTGGTACAAGTTGATCTTGGTCTCATTTGTCCATAGGATGTTGTTCCAGAACTGTGAAGGCTTTTTTAGATGTCATTTGGCAAACTCTAATCTGGCCTTCCTGTTTTTGAGGCTAACCAATGGTTTACATCTTGTGGTGAACCCTCTGTATTCACTCTGGTGAAGTCTTCTCTTAATTGTTGACTTTGACACACATACACCTACCTCCTGGAGAGTGTTCTTGATCTGGCCAACTGTTGTGAAGGGTCTTTTCTTCACCAGGGAAAGAATTCTTCGGTCATCCACCACAGTTGTTTTCCGTGGTCTTCCGGGTCTTTTGGTGTTGCTGAGCTCACCGGTGCGTTCCTTCTTTTTAAGAATGTTCCAAATAGTTGTTTTGGCCACGCCTAATGTTTTTGCTATCTCTTTGATGGGTTTGTTTTGTTTTTTCAGCCTAATGATGGCTTGCTTCACTGATAGTGACAGCTCTTTGGATCTCATCTTGAGAGTTGACAGCAACAGATTCCAAATGCAAATAGCACACTTGAAATGAACTCTGGACTTTTTATCTGCTCATTGTAATTGGGATAATGAGGGAATAACACACACCTGGCCATGGAACAGCTGAGAAGCCAATTGTCCCATTACTTTTGGTCCCTTAAGAAATGGAAGGCACATATGCAAACTGTTATAATTCCTACACCGTTCACCTGATTTGGATGTAAACACCCTCAAATTAAAGCTGACAGTCTGCAGTTAAAGCACGTCTTGTTCATTTCATTTCACATCCATTGTGGTGGTGTATAGAGTCAACAATGTTAGAATTGTGTCGATGACCCAATATTTATGGACCTGACTGTATGTACAATTTTACTAACACATGTCAAAGTTGTAAAATTTTACTTGGGCTTTAAGATTTCTTTTACCTTTAGGCGTGAAGGGGTTAAAGCTGTTTAAAGTGGTTCTAAAGGCTTAAGATTTTTTACCTTATTGCATTCTATGCATTAAGGTGAAAAACCTTCTCTGTTGCAGCTCCTCTCCAGCCCCCCCCCCCCCTTTTTCTTACTTGAACCTGAACCAATCAAGCAACGTGTACAAGACAGGGCAGGTTTGGAGCAAGCATGCACAAGTGCCCCCATGAAAAGCGGCTTTCCGTGGGGGCACCTGCCGAAGAGGAGGGGCCAGGAGCGGTGGCGGGGGACCCTAAAAGAGGAGGTAAAACCATTGCACAGAGCAAGTAGTATAGACATGTTTGTTCTTTTAATTAAAAACAAACAAAACAAAGGTTTACTATTACTTTAAATTATCAGTTACTAATATAGTTTATTCAGTGCTCAGCCTTAAAGGAGTCATTTGGGGTATTTGAATAAACTTACATTTATACCTCAGTGCAGAAGCATCATGATCACATGACTGCTGATGGCTCAGTTCTCGGTTCAGAGCAGAGAACAGTGACTGCCAGTCACCACTCTCCGCTTTGCTCATCCAGCTC